AAGGTTCATGCATGTTGTAGCATGTATCAGAACTTCCTTTTTATGGCTTTATTTTACTTAGACACACACCCCACCCCACTTTATTTTTCCATTCCTCAAGTGATGGGTTGTTACCATCATTTGACTTGTGACTAGTGCTGCTATAAATAGTGGTGTGCAAGTGTCTATCTGTTTGGGTCCCCCACTTTCAGTTCTTTTGAATTTATACCTAGAATAACTCATTGTAATTCTGCATTTAGTGTTTTGAGGAACTACCAAACTAGTTTCCACAAAAGCTACATGATTTTGCATTCCTGCCAGCAGTGCACATCTACAACTTCTCCCCTGCCCTCTTTTTCTGGGTAGTAGCCTTTGTAATGGGTGTGAAGTGGCATCTCAAGTGTCCTTTTACTTTGTATTTCCCTTATCACTAATGATGTCGAACAACTTGTCGTTTGCTTATTGGCTATTTATATATCTTCTTACAGTTTACCTTTTTTGAAATATAAAAATGTGAATGAGTGTGACCCTGATCCCACCCCAGTATGGAGGAAAGAAATTTCCTGGGGGAAAATAGTTAACTAAACATGGTGCATAGTTTCATAGAGATGTGTAGTCTATTTATGATCTTGCATCCTGCATGCATATTTATCTGTCTTTTGTACATGGGCCTTGTCTGCAAATCAACTCCTCCTGACACTCCTGTGTTACTGGACTAGAATGCTTGAGAGAGGCCTGGGGTTGAAATTTACTTGAGCGCTTTCCAGTCCATCCTTACAGAAAATTTCAAAATTAAGGCCTACTGAAGTTGCATTCCATTATGAGGCCTAGGTGTACTGCCTCCTTATGTATTCTCTTCCTTTCATTTATGTTTTAATTATAGGAAGCTGAAAGCCAGCTCAGATATTTGTGGTGCTTAGAAGGTTGCTGCTGTAATTTTCAGTGCTTCTAACAAAGTAGCTAGCTCCTATATTCTTTTTTATCTTCTTTCTGCAAACTCTCTTATTAGTAGCATGAACTGATGTAAGATATCTGTAGTCTAAGAAGGAGAACAATAAGTAATCTACCTGGGGAGTTGATGGAAAGGCTTTAAAATAACTTCTCATTTCAGGGACTCTAATAATTTGATTATGGTAACAGCAGTTTTTGGTATCCTGTTGATGATATTCACTGTCTTCTCAGTTTTCTGTCACGTGGCAGGTGTTTGCTGATGAGCACTTTGGAGAGTGCATGCTTATCTGGCATGTCCATAACAGAAGGAACTGTGTGTTCCCTTTCTGATGTACCGGGGAGCAATTTGCCCCCCTTTGGACTGTGTAAGCTTTATCATAGATTAATAGCCATAGCTACATAGTGATTTTAAATCCAGAATGAACCTAGAGTGGCGGAGAAGAAAAGTCTGTCTTACAAAAACAGTGAAACTTTCTCAGTTTGTCTGCTGAAAGGTTTTTAGGAATTGACCATCCTTCCTTTTTCATATAACTCATGATAAAGTAAAAAGATTACTTAGTTATTTGGTTTGTTTGCTTACAAAAACCTATACTTCTAATGGCCTAACTGGAATTCAGAAGAAATATTTGGAAAATTAACTTTATTTCTTTATTCTTTCAGATTTATCTGCTTTTGAAAGCTAAAAAAGTTTGTTTTGTTTTTAATTATTCATGGTTCTTCCCTTCCTATGGCCTCAGTACTACTTATAAGAACCACCCTCTGAGATCACTAAGATTACTTGAATCACTTAAAGTGTTTATCTCATGACGCTTATGAAGCTAGCAATTAGCTTTACTATTTATTTGAATTTAAGCAAGCTATTTTCTCCAAAGCAGCAAGGTTAAAACCAAATGAAAATGTTTCTTGATGGCTCTCTTCTCCTTTCCTTTTCCTTTTCCCCTTCCCTTTCCCCTTTTCTTTTCCTTTTACGCTTCCCCTTCCCTTCCCTCCCCTCCCCTTTCCTTTTTATTGGTGGTTCTATCCCTGACATGTCCTTTAATCTAGAACAAGCTTCCTATCTGTCGACAGTTGTTCTCCTTTCTAGTGGGGGTATCTTTTATAACGTACATATTTTTGAGGAGTCCGGACCAGTTGTCTTGTAGAGTGTTCTACATCTGATTTTGTCTCTTCTTCAATAGTTTCCAGTTGAACGTTTTTGATAGTAATACCACATGGACAACACAAACTTCCTGCTGTATCACAGCAGGAGGCACAGTGATGGCTGTGTGTCATTATTTCTGTTGCAGAGTTTGGTTCTGGCGTAAATCACTTGGTAAGGGGATGTTGGTTAGCTCACTTCATGAAGTGAAGGGGCCTCTCTCCTTTTCCACTAAGTAGCTTGTAGAGTAGTTCTCTGAGACCGTGTAGTTGTCTTTTGTCAGTAAACTTTCATCTGGTGGCTTTAATTTGTTCAGTGCTTAAAATCATGGGGTCTACTGTTGAATGTCAGTGTATCTGTGAAGCCCCAGGAAACTTTTTTTTGCATTCATTATTTTCCCAGGGATATAGTCCATGACCCCTGCCCCGCCAAATATTTAAAAGATCTTTTCCCTCTGTTATTGAAGTGTCTTCTACAAGTTTCCATGCTCCAGAAAAATGTTATAAACAGTGGGTTTCTAGAAACTGAGAGCAAACCCTGTTCATCTAATTTTACTGATTATCTAGCCCAGCCTCATGTAGAGCTAGGTACTTAATTTTTCTTGTTTGTTTGAGAACAGTTTGTTCTGGCCTTTCATTTTCCCTGAGCCAAATAGTTGGATCTTTTATCTTGGTAAAAACTCTGCTAGAAAATAAAGCAAAGGGGCTTAGCCCCTGGATTTTAGTATTTTCTTTGAAGATTTTTGAGCACGGCCGTTTGATTTATGTTTTTACACTGAAGTAAACTCAGGTTGTTTGGAAATGAGCTAAAACACTACACTATATGTTTTAGTTGTCTGATTATTAGCTGTATCAGTAATACATTTTTCACAAGTACAAAAAAAAAGCCCTCTGTGTGAACAGAGGGCTTAAGAGGTGACTTGAGGGAATCTGTAGTCTGTTCCTAGCCTACTGTAGAATAGCTGTAAAAGTGGTTAATTCTTAGCTGGACAAGGTGGTTCACTACTGTAATCCAGTACTCAGGAAGCTGAGTCGGGATGACTACCAGTTTGAGGTCAGCCTGGAATACATAGCAAAACTCTGTCTTCAACAACAATAACAACAAAAGTGGTTAATTCCTGATTTTCCCTGCTCAGCCAGGACCTGACGCAAGCCATGGCCACGGGTGTTTTGTTTAGCCTGTTGATAGCCCCAGTAATAACAAAGTGTCAGATGACTGACAGTAAGAGCTAGCATTTGAATAGTGTACTTTTAGTTATTTGTTTTATTTTTAGTGGTACTGGGATTTGAACTCAGGGCCTTGTGCTTGCTAAGCATGTGCTCCACTACTTGAGCCAGGCCCTGGCTCTTCAATAGTATACTTTCAAAATCCACAGTATACTTTGGGGAGAGGGAATGGGGGAGAATGATGCTTTTACAAGACTCCTTGTAAAAGCATGTATGCAAATGTCACAACGAAACTCCTTATACCACTAATATATGCTAATAAAAATGTTTTACAATATACTTAGTCCATATCACCCTGTTAAAGTAGGTATTTTTATTCTAATTATACAACTAAGGAAAAAATTTTAGAAAAATTAAGTAGCCAATATCAAACAGCTTGTTAGGAGCAAGTTCTACTTTTTCAGTTCCTTGCTCTTTTTTACTGTTGTCAAAGGTGGAGGCATTCTGGGGAATTTAAATATGAACAAAGCATGGCCCTTGCTTTTAAATCAAGACTTTTAAAATCTAACAAGCATGTCCTTTTGTAGATGTATTATAGGCACTAAATTGAGGGAAGAGCTAAGGAAATAGAGAAGAGGGCTAAATGACCCACATCCAGAGTCAAGATTGGTGTGATGGAAGTAGCATTTGCGGGAGAAGAAGGAGATCAAGCAGAGTGTGGATATGGGAATGCACAGTGCTTGTTACAGCAGAGGAATTGGGCTAGTTTGGCCAGAACATGAGCTATGTGTAGGAAAGTAGCAGAAGCTATATGTGATGGATAGGTTGTGAACCCTGGGTGCCACAGGGAGGTGAAGACTATGGTCCTACAGAAGATCCAAAATGATGAAAAATACATACATTTTTGAGATGTGAATCTGTGCTACTCTCTTAACTATGTTAGCTCATTAATGTCTTGTTATAACACCACGAACATCATACTTTGTCTATTTTATAGACGAGAAATTAAGACTCAGTTAAGATTAAGTAAATTGTAAGGCAGTCATGGCAGTACACACTTGGAATCCCGGCACCCAGGAGGTTGAGACAGGAGGATCTGAAGTTCGAGGCCAGCCTAGGCTACATAGTTAGGACCTGTTGCAAAACAAAGCAAAGCAGGGTTTGCAGAGTGGCTCAAATGGTACAGTGCCTGCTGAGTAAACATGGGGCCCTCAAATTCAAACCCAGTACCACAAAAACCGAACAAAACAAAAAACCAAAGCAAAAAGATAAAAGTAAATTGCAAGTGTCAGTAGGACTCTGACTTGGTCTGCCAGATTCTAAAGACTGCCTACCACTATGTCACTTCTTTCATCAGATCACCTAATAAATTCTTAAGAATATGGTTATAGAAAAAAGAATGGAGAGAGTAACATTGATTTAGGTACACACAATAAAACCTTCAAGAAAAAAGAAAAAAGAATGTCTTCAAAGTTCTGAGAAGACTACTTCTCACTGCATGATCATTGTTAAAGAATGTAATTACTAGCAAACCTGGCCTTGCTTTCTAACTTGGGACAGATGGGAAATTGAAGACTTGAATGATATTTTATTTACATGCTTGATGATATCAATACATGCGCATAACAAATTCTTTCGCCTTCCTTTTTGATGTCTAACTTTATTGGTCCAATGTAAATTTTAGGTTGAGGCTCAGTTCTCAGGGACATTTAAGATGCATAAAGAAGTGACATTTTCCCTAGCTGAAATATGTTTCTTTTTGGCAGGTTTCCTACCTACGAAAGACAATGACTACTGATGAAGGTGCCAAGAACAATGGAGAAAGTCCCACAGCCACTGTTGCTGAACAGGGAGAGGATATCACCTCGAAAAAAGACAGAGGAGTATTGAAGGTGAGGTCACAAAGGTGCATAACATACAGGAAAGACTGATTATAGAGCCTCTGTGTGGAGGTAGGGACAGGGGAGGCAATGTTTACTGAGGCTTACTAAGTGCCAAATACTATAGCTAGATTCTTGCCTCATCTTCATAATATTGAGGCTCTTATTTTAATCCCAGATGGTTGATGATGAAACGAGGTCAGGTTAGGTAAATTAACTTGTTGCCCCAATCTCATAAATCTTACTAAATGCAGATCTTGAAGTTCTCCAAGTTTTGGAATCAGAACCTGATTCCAAAAGGCTCTGTCTCCCTATTCTCAGAGTATATAAATGGGTTACTACTTCAATACATCTGTTTATTTTGAGAGAGGGTCTCATTGTATAATGCAGACTGGCCTGGTACCCACAATCCTCCCACCTCAGCCTCCTAAGTGCTGGGATTATATGAGTGTGCCATCACACCTGGCATTTAATGTGTCATTTTGGCATATTAAAGCTAGCTAATGACAATGACTTTTTAGTGGGGAAAAAACTAACTTGAAAAGTTCAAAAGGTTTTTTTTTTTACATGTAAGTAGTGTTGCTGTGTGCTATGAAGATATTGAGAGGGGGTTCCATCAGTGGATGTTCTTACATACAGATACATGTGTGTGTGTGTGTGTGTGTGTATATATATATATATATAGAGAGAGAGAGAGAGAGAGCTTTTCCTACTTATTAAAACATTATATATATTTGTATTTGCTCTAGTTTGTCATTCTCATGTATTTTTTATTTGCATCTCAATGGTGTTCTGAGACACAATACCTCTTGATTCTTTCATTTTATAAGTGAATAAATTGAAACTAAATGTGGCTAAGTTGTTTTCGAAAATACATTAGTTACTTCTACCCCATTAAATACACAAGTTTTGTATAATTAAGTTTTGTTTCATTTTTCTCTGAAAAGATTGTTGTACATATTTAAGTATTACTGCTATGCAGAGTTTCAGACCTCCTGAGTCAGCAATAGCAAATGAGAAATTTTGAGTTTGTTTTGTCTGTTCTTGCTATGTGAAAGGCTTTCTTCTGTGTCTGGATCTCTTCTGGATATACTTGCATTCCTATTAGCTTGCTCTGGGCCAAGTCAGATTTTAGGGACTTGGAACTGTATAGTAAGGGCATTATGCTCTAGATGAACCTCATATCTTGCAGAGACTTCTCAACCTTGAACGCCCAATCAGGATGTTTCTCAGACGGTGGAGATTCTGCAGGCTGTCCTCTCCTACCCCATAGTAGGAACAGAGTGCCCAAATCCAGAAAACATGTATGCCTTAGGCCCTGTCTATACTATGACAATACCCTAGCCTGGATGGTTTAAAAAAATAGAAGTTTTTTTGGGTTCACAGTACTAAAGTCTGGGAAGCCTAACAGCATGTGCCTGCATCTTTCTAGGCAGGCACTCCACCACTTGAGCCCTATATACCCCTAGCTCTTCAAAGCCCTTTAAGTCATGTTTTTGTCTAGAGCCTCAGGTGCATCATGGGGCTTTTGGTGAAGATTATATAAGTATGGTAACTGTGTGACAGGGAAATTCAGTTAACTGCATTGTGATTAATTTCTCTATTTGTAACATCTGTAATAATACCATCAATCCCATAAAGTTATCAGGATAAGGTAAAGTGCTTAGCATAATGCCTGTCTTTTGTAATCTTAAAAAAAACTAAAGATCATGGCAGGTTTGGGAAGTCAGTAACTATCTGGGAAGATGAAATTTGTGTTGATATTTTCCAAGTGAATTGAGACTAGAGCATATCTTTATTTTATTTTATTTTTTATTTTGTGGGACTGGGGTTGAAATCAGAGCTTCATGCTTGCAGAGCAGGTGCTCTACCACTTGAGCCACACCTCTAGTCTATTTTGCTTAGTTATTTCGGAAATAGGGTCTCACGAACTCTTTGCCCCGGATTGCCTTGAACTGCAGTCCTTCCAATCTCAGCCTCCCTAGCAGCTAGGATTCCAGGCATGAGCCACTGGAACCCAGCTAGATTGTATTTTTAAAGCAAGTCCAGACTTAGCACAAGTTTCATCTTGTGGGGGAGGCCTGCAGTGATCCATGGCACCCCTTGCCATTGCAGGTGCCACCTGCTTACTGAGTGACCATTCATCCCATATGCCCAATTGTTTGTTTCTCATCCTTAAAGTGCAAATTCCTGCTGATGACTGAGCCTCGGCTCCCAGATGCCACATGTCATTCATAGATAGGAGCACTTCTAGAATAGCATGTGGTTTCTTTCATATTAATTTTTTTGAAACTTTTGTGCTTTTGAAGCCCTAGAAGGGCAATAATATTTCTTTTCTTTTTAAAGAATATTTGGAGTTTTGAGCTAAGAAAGTAGTGGAATTCAAGTTCACAGTGTTTATGTGGTGTTTATGTGGGGTGGAGCTAGGGGAGGCACGTCTCCAAGAGTTTTAAAAGCAAATAATTGAAATCTTTAAATAAAAGCTCAAATACTTCCCCCTGAAAGATGTTCATCAATGTTAGCTAGTATCCTCTACTGTCTACTAAAAATGCTTAATTTGGCATACATGATTGACAGAATAAATTATTCTACCACATGCCTGGATTGAATTTTCTTTTCCAAGAAATGACCAACTACATTAGCAGCTTGCTCTGCCAAGAACAAAATAAATATACTGGATTTTATGATAGCTAAATATTTTTCAGCTTGGAGCTTTTTTTTTTTTTTTTTTTTTTTGGTATTTCCATTACTAGAAAACAAGTTATTTAGTATCATATCAAACTGTGCAGTAATACTAATGGTTTTTACAGATTGAATATTTTCAAATAGGAAGTATACCCCATTATTCAGAATATTGAGCCTTCTGAGATTAAATCAAAGTTGCAGAATATAGTTACAAGTGAGTGTTTTTAGCAAAGGAGGGAAGCACATAAAATCACACCTTGGAAACTTTGCTTTAGCCCTCTTATTGACTGCTGCTAAAAGTCCAACAGTATTTTTGGTCTGATTCACTTTATATTCAGACTAGCTCTGTGGTTTGAGAGACTTTCGTGTCAGTATGGGGCACTAAACCAACAAAGGAAGATGTACTGGCTAATTCTTGTGAGGAAATAGTGTCACACACAATATAATCCAACGTAATACAACAGGGTAGTGACGGACAATTTTCTAACGAGGGGGTGGTTCTGAGAGGACTATGAAGGAGGCCTTCAGAAAGGACAGTGTATTTGCAAATCTGATCAGGTGACGCGGAATGGACCATGTTGCCTTCTGATTTTCTGATTATAAGTAAAAAGTTTTACCTCCTTTTTCTTGATGTTTATCTTTTCTAGATTGTCAAAAGAGTGGGAAATAGTGAGGAAACACCAATGATTGGTGACAAAGTTTATGTCCATTACAAAGGAAAGTTGTCAAATGGGAAGAAGTTTGATTCCAGTCACGACAGGAATGAACCATTTGTTTTTAGTCTTGGCAAAGGTAAGAGGGTGTTTTCTGAGAGGTTATTTTGCTTAGATTTATTATTATTTGTATTATTATTTGGCAATATCCTTGCCAAATAGAGATGTTTTAGAATAAGAACATCCTGGGTGTCTCTGAGATTGTTTTAAAAAATCTGTCCTATCAGTATTTTTTTAACGATACTAAGCTGTTAATGCATTGACATTTGCACTAATGACACAAAACCTGCAGTGGCAGAAGTTGCTGGTGCCTTAAATGAATCAAGGGAGTGACACTGTTGGTCATGGTATTTTCACTGCCTCCCACTTACTGTTTACATAGGGGGGATAAATGGTTAGTTTTGCTTCCGAAGGTTCTTGATAAAACAATAAAGTTATTCATTTTATTATAGAAAAATAAATATGGAAAACCAGTCTTCCTTGACGTGGTTTTGATATTCTGTGACAGACAGAGAAGCATACCTAGAGAGCACTTCTGTGCACCAGCGTACCATGGCCATCTCAAGGAGGAGGTGTTCATACACTTGCCTTAGTTGAGAGCTCAGCTAACTAACTTGTTTCCATGAAACACCATTTTTACTTAAAGGAGCAAATTATGATTATTCAGACTTGATTATTTTCCTGAAAGTGAATGCAGTATGCCTGTCCCTTCAAGGAAAACAACTGATAATCTTTTTTTGCTTTTGAGTTTTTAGGTAAAAATTGTAATTTTGAAAAATTTGTATCTATCACTGTGAGCTTGACAGCTTCCTGAAACTTTTGGCTTTTCTGATGAAATCAGTGGGTATTAATGAATATTATTTTTGTATTATAGAATAAAATATGCCACTGTTTGGAAGGTCTACATAACTCAGTGAACCAGTATTTCCCAATACCGGTGTAAGATGTACAAGGTCATGTATGGATAAGCAATCCATTTAAAGTACAAGCAAGAGCAGTGGATTTTAATGTAACACCATATTTTCATATTATTGATTTGCTTTCAGATTCCATATTGTAACTACCTTTATGAAACTTATCATGTGTCTACTTTTGATGTCACATTTCTGAGGTTATCTAAAGAGGCCAGCCTGGGCTACATAATTAGACCCTGTCTCAAAAACTAAAAAAGTTAGGGGTGTGGCTCAAGTGGTAGAGTACCTGCCCAGCAAGTGCAGGGCCCTGAGTTCAAACCCCAAGAGTGCTTAAAAAAAAAAATTGAGAGAATCCAGTTATCAAACACATTTTACATTTATAAAGTTAGGAATTGAAGCCACTCTTCTAATTTTACTTTTATTTTGGAAAATGTTATTTTTTATGAAGTTTAGTGATTTATGGTAACATGGGGTTATTATTACTTTAAATGAAGTATTAATCTACTTAAAATTTTAATATGGTGAATATTGATAGATATATCACATAAAGAAAAGCTCTTTGTGGTCTTCAATTGGGGAGTGGGGTTTGAACCCAGGGCCTTGTGCATGCTAAATGTACATCTACCATTGAACTGTACTCCCAGCCCCAGGGGTAGTCCTCAGTTTTCAAGAGGTAAAGGGCTTTTGAGGGGAAAAAAGTTGAGAACTGCTGTTTTCAAGAATTAAATGTAATTTAGCCGGGTATGATAGTATACATCTGTAATCCCAGCGACTCAGCAGAAGGAGGTAGGATGATCATGAGTTCAAGGCCAGCCTGGGCAAAAGTAGTGGGCAAGTCCCTGTTTCATAAAAATAGCTGGACACCCATGGCTCACGCCCATAATCCCAGCTACTTAGGAGGATTGAGGTTTGAGGCCAGCCCAGCAAATAGTTCTGTGAGACCCTATCTCCGTAAACCCTTCACAAAAATTGGGCTGGTGGACTGGCTCAAGGTCAAGGCCCTGAGTTCAGCCCCAGTACCGCCAAAAAAATCCCTATGTATAAATGAATAAATAAAAACAAAAGGGCTAGGGTGTAATTCAAGGGGTAGAGCATGCATGAGGCCCTAGGTATGTGATTTTTACTAGTTTCATTTCAAATGTTTTTCATTGTCTTTAGTAATTTAGTATTCTTATTTTCTTTAGTCTTACAAGAGGAATAATAGTACATATACCAAATTTGATTTTGAGGACCATGTGTCTTGTTAGAAGTTAGTGGAAAAATTATAATGTCCTTTTAGTCTTGTCTGCAACAAGCAGTTCTGGCTCATTCCTAGATTAAGTGTGGGGAGTTAAAGCATGGCCCCTCTCCAGTTGGAAGGCCTCCCTGAGTGCTTGGGATTATAGAATTAGCTCTGGGTAGACTTACTCTTTTCTCTTCTTGACTCTGTACCCAGTTAAATTGCTAACTAAGCATGGTCCAGGAAAGGAAATGGCAAGTGATAAATTTTCTGCCTCTCTGCCTTCCCATAGTCATTTGTGTCTCATGGTGACATCTGCTTGCTGTGTCACTACCTCAATCTCCTTTAGGTGCTTAGTGAGTTAATTTCTCATGTCCTATTAACTTATGTTAGAATAAGATACCAGTCAAAATCAAATACAGAATCTCCCTCTTGATATGGTAGATAATTAGGACAGTTATTTTCGAATATCTTTCATTTTTGGCGATTTGGGGATGTGAACCTTCTACAGTACCAGAATGGTTATGGCATCATTATTTAATTTAGATGACCTCAAGGTCATATAAACTCTCTTCCTGCTATCCACCAAATCTTTACTCTACCTTTAGAACTTCTGTCTTGAAGAAGCTGAAAATTTAAGATGCCAGGTCTTATCTCAGCAGCAAGAAGAGTTAAGAATTACTGATAATTGCTGAGTATGGTGGTACAAGGCTATAATCCCAGCATTTATGAGGAAAGGCAAGAGAATCCTGAGTTTCAAGGTCAACGTGGGCTACATAGCAAGTTCCAGCCCAGCCTGGGCTGGGAGACCTGTCTCAAAACAAAAACAAAAAAATACAGGATGAGAGAGAAAAGAGACAACTTTCAGTGGTGGACATGTGAAGAACATCCAGCAAGGTGTTAGCAAACCAGTGCTCCTGTCTTCACCGTTCCATGTGCAATGTAAGCATGAGCAAGTCCCTGACCATCCCCACTCCTGAAGAAAGGAGGAGTGTATAGAGAGTTTTAGATTAGTCCTGAGTCTGTGATTCCATTCCTGTACCTTCTGTAAAGAATGAAGGCACAAAACCATGAAAGTCAACACCAGCATCCTGACAGACCTTTAGAGGTCCTGTTAGGTAGCCTATCTGTCTTCATTAGAAATACTAGGAAAGAACAATATATTGCTAGTAAATTTTCTACAACACAGTTGCCTACAAAACAAAAAACACAAACTGAGTGTGGTGGCATACACCTATAATCCCAGCACTTAGGATACTGAGGTAGGCACATGTGAAGTCAGAGACCAGCCTGGACTATATAGCAAGACCCTGTCTCAGAAAACAACAGCAACAAAAAATACACCAAGAAAGACTGTCCAGGCAGTTTAGAGTTTAATATTTTATAGCAATAGTCATTTCATCAAAATGAAAAATAATATAAGTGGACAGTAGCATAAATATTGTCTCTTGAACTCTCTTGATTCCTTGCCAAGAGAATACATAGAAATATTTTAAAGGAAAGTTCCATGCTAATATTGATATTCTAATATGACTTTAGAATCTTAAATAGAATTGTAAGAGCCTGATTATAATAATTGTGTTGCAAAAATACATACACCATGTATATATGTAATTTGAGTTATACTTGCACATTATTTGTACATGTCCATTGCCTTTTCTGGCTGTCTTTTAAACTCTGTCTTATTTTTCTTATCTAAAGTGATGATAATAATTTGTATACTATTATTATATATTACATAAAATATTATATAATGTTGACATTAAGGTAGTGCCCATCATTGCTTAGCCTAACACATAGCAAGTACTCCAGACTGTTGACTGGATTTATAATCAGTAACAAGAATTGTGTAATTACAGTTTGGGTCGCACCTCTGTTACTATACATGCAATTCAAGCCTTTACAAACAATGCTTAGCCATCTTTTTTAACTCCAAGAAGTTGGGAAAGACAAAAACTGTATCCTTCTAGAGACTTTGTCCCTAGAAGTCTCTAGGATACAAAACTGTATCCTTCTAGAGACTTTGAAGAGGTAATATTTTCCCTCACTAGATTTTCTTCTAGAACTGTATGTATAAATAACCATTTAAAGAGAAGTTGAAATAAAAATAACTTAGAATTTTCATGTACACTTCTGTAATAGGGGTTATTTTCCCCTCCTTGCTCCCCAACAAATTCATTATCACTAAAATGGAGGAAAGAGATAATGGGAATGAGTTATTTCTACCCCTATTACAGCAAATCCAAGAGCACTAATACCCCCCACAGCCCTGTAAAAATCTGATGAAGATGGATTCTATTCTGAAAGATGTGGTGCATCCTTGAAGTTGTTTTTGATGCTCTTGGTATGTGACTAATATGTCTAGGAATTTTGAAGATAAAATTATATTCCTCCCCCAGATTTGAGACGTAAGAGAAACAAACCAGTAATTTTAGATTCTTCACATGCCTATACTTCCCTCTCGTTATTGAGATTAAACCATTGTGAGGTACATATCAGTGATCAGCCTTTAATATCACTTTTACATTATGATCCATGATCATTCATGAAAATATATTTTAATTTGGTCGGCATTAGCATATTGGGATAAAAGGGGGAAATGCATGTTGAAAGACTAATAGCTAATGCTTTTTAGGTTCTTGCGATGCGAGGACAAGAACCTTTGTATTATTTCATTTAATCCTATGCTAGTCATATTTTTTCAATTTTTATATATACCTTATTTGATATTGTTTAGGTGAGGGCAGTCATTAACATTTTTGTCTAAGTCTTACTGAATTTTTTTATTGAGGCATTATTTACACATATAAAAATTCATCCTCTTAAGCATACAGTTTGATGAATTTCAGTAATAGTTCTACAACTACCACCATAGTCAAAATACAGATCAGTTTGTTTACCATAAAATTCTTACACCTTTTTGCAGTTATTTTCCTTCCTGGACCC